ATACTTCTTCCTACAGCACCACCCAAAACCATATGCAGAGCTGAGCGCCCCAGCTGTCCAAGTAGGATGTGGGCAGTTACAACTCACGTTATGCATCTGCTTTGAAAAATTTTGACTTAAATCGGTGTTGCTTTTAAAAATAGTGAACCCTGCTCAGTGTAACTATTGAAAATTCATCAGAAATAAATTCTGATTGCTTTCATTATTATTTAAGGATAATTTGTAGAGATGGCCAAAAATTGTGTGTGTTTGGACTAGCTGATTTTCTGCTTGGTTGCACTGTGAAGGAGAATTAACCTTTTCTCCCTCAAATTATCTGCAAAGCTCAGGGAATCAGTTCAGATCTCTCTGTGGCCTTCACTTTCCTAGTAGTTGACGCATTTTCTTACAGGGTTCTGTTTCTAGTCCCACTGTGTTCCCAAATGTGAATGTCCTGAAACTCAGAGAGATTCAAATCAATGCCACGATCTGAACAGATATATGATGTACCTCTGCTGTTACGCTTAATTAATTTAGGACATTCTAGGCTTTCTCTCCAAGCATCAGCCTTCCTTTCTCCTGTGGATACTGTGAAATCCCACAGTGAACCTTGTTGTTATGACCTAATTTTTCTACAAACGGAGAGATTTAATTTGTTCAGGTGCCAGGCAAAGGGAACACAAACTTGGAATTCTCCTGGTGACTTTAATTTAGCTGCCTGAGATTTGAAAAAATCAATAGGGGAATTATCTCGCTGTCTCTAGATTGTAACTTAATAATTAAAGCATAATTAAAAGGATGATGTCAGTTTATTTAGGAAAAGTGTGGCTTTTTTGGTGGGTCCACCCTAGAACTTGTGTCCTGCTGAGTTGAGACAGTGGAGCTGGGATTGAACCCTCTTGCTAGGGAAACCCTCTGGTATTGAAAGCGTTGCTGTCATTGTTTAGTTCCAAAACCAACTGAGTAACTCTTGAAAACAGTATTAATTCCTAACTGAATTTTCAGATGATATTTTACTAACCTGCCTTTTTCAGGTTCATTACTCTTAACACTCACGATCAGATGGTTTCTTCAGAGAATCCAGTGTTGTCCAACAAACACCTCTCAGGAAGTTAACAGTCATTATATATACATCCTTTATATACATGTAGACACATATATATGCCCATCACATATATAGTACTGATGTATTTGAAGCCTTGTGACATCAGTAAATCTGAGAAACTTCTCACTGAAATGGTGTTGGCAAGTACAATGAATATATGGCAAAATACAGTCTGGGAATTCATTCATTGGCAGTAGGAGAATTTCGTTTTTAACATCTTAGTGCTTCCTAGATGGACTGTGACCATCCTTAGTGGATACTGTCCACTTCAGACCATTCTGACTTAATATTTAGTACCACCTTCTTGACCATTACTGTCCCTTTTAAGAATCCTGTCACAATAATGCCCTTACCAGACCTGACAAAATACAAATACATAAATTCCTGCAAGTCTGGACAAGTGAAAAGTAGTAGTTCATTACCTTACAAATGCTTTATTAGTTGCAGTTTGTGAATCGGTCTCATTGTATCCTACAGTTCTGTTCATTCAAATAGCGTACAAACGTAAAACCACAGATCTATGTACATCTTGAGTTAAGCTGAAAGTGTAACTGAAAAATACACCTTTTGATGCTTCTGTATGCATTATGTAATGTGACTAAATGATAATCGCATAGCTACAAAACTCAAGTAACTTCACAGAAAGCCAGACTACCAAATGCACTGAATATGCACTAAATGAACTATTTAGAAGTATTTAATTGGCAGATGAGCAAAATGCAGAATGGCCTTGATTGAATCAGCTGGCCAAAGCTGTTGTAACGAAGTATTTTTTATTATTAACGAAAATCCAAGGTACTTTATTTTCTCTCTCTGAGAACTTTCTATTCTAGTTTATTTTGAGGATCTCAAATGCATGGTACTGACATAATTTATTCCTTGGCTGATTGCCTAACTAGCATGTTACAATTCAACCCAAGCGCCACCTTTCAATGAACAACAGCCATTCTTGACATTCTCAACATTCACTTGACAAAATGATCATCTGTGAAATTAATCTCTTTCATGCTACTTTTTTTTTTTTTTTCCTCAACCTACCCCAGTTAATTGTTAACTAGTAAAATCTCTGCTGGTTCACATAAATGACAGCTTAAATGACTTGGCGTAACACTTTTGTGGTGTTCAAATAACTTAAAGCTTTATTTCCCTGTATTTTGTCTGGATGATTCCATTCCTGTTCAGTGGCCCACCGTTGTTCAGATCAATGTGCTGCTGAGGATTTTCCACTAGGACTGTTAGAGACTTAAATGTTGTTACTTCAATTTCCTACTGAAGACCTAAATGAAAAGTTTACATGTGTTCATCTTGCTTTTCCTAACAGAAAATAGGACCAAATTACCAGGAAATGAAGTGGAATGTTTCAATTTGTGCTTCCTAGTGAAGTTGTTGCCAAAATTGTGTAATTCTACAGTGCTTTCAAGGAAACCCGATTAGAGATTGCCCTGGTAAGAGTAGCTGGCAGCAGCACAGCTCAGCCCATGTGTTTGCATAGCATTTGTTACTATGCACATCATTATAGATGGACCAAACTTTGCCCTCTTATCTGCATCTATGCCTCTCATAGGAACAGGGAAAGAAAGTAATTTGTGAGCAGTATGTGACCCTTGGAGAACTACACACATCTGCTTAAGGCCATTTTTCCACATAAAAACACTTTTCAGCAAAATGATTTAGCATGTGTTTAATTTTAATGATTTGGCTTAAGTGTCTTTTTGAGTGCTTTATCAAGCTACGGCAATCATCAGCTGCTTAATAAATATTGGATTAAAGTCTGTAAAGGGAACTAACACATGTATCAGAAAGACAAAAATGAAAGAACATTGCCAGACACTAAGCTTTTCTCTTTGCAATGCACTACTGTGTTCTTGGGGCTGAAGGACATTTTTCAACGATGCTGGAAATTGCAACACCAATATTATTTTTGACAACAGAGACTGTAATTCTGGCAGTTTTCTGGACTTACACAGTGAAACCTCCACAGAATTTAATGTTGTTAAAGGAAACTACAGAATCAAAACTATTAGCCCCCAATACACATTAATAATAGTTGGAGTTCAGAAATAGTTTTGGGTATGTGCTGAAATGAAAAATCTGGGCTTTGAATTGGTAGGCATTTGACATGCCAGGATAATAGAATAAATGTTCACTAATGCATAGCAATAGATAGGTTGGATTTTTTAAATTATCACAACAGAAGCAGAGAAGATAATAAATAAAGAATTCTTTTTTTAAAAGCATTGCCACACGCCAATATATTGGTTCATTACAAACAACTTAAAATCGTTGTTTTCCAATGCACAATTAAAAAACCCTCCAGTGGTAAGGAAGTTCTTCTGGCACACCACTGACTACAGCGAGTGTCACCAGTAGTGTCCCATTGATTTCCATATCTGTAAACGTTTGCACAGCCCTGCCCAGCTGGATTGCTGTGCTTAATTTCCACCACACTGGGCCTCTGTGCCTTTGGGCTCCCTTCCTCTCATTGCGCGGTAGCACGGAATCTTCTGTGGTCCCTGCTGCCCACTGCTTGGGCGTGGAGTCTGTCTGCTGACCTTTGAGATCTCAATGCTCAGACACCTTCAGCTCCCAGGAACAGGACCAACACTCCCAGATTTTTTAGTGAAATACAGCCCTTCCAGGCTGTTCAGCAAAGTCAGAGCAAACACTCAGATTTGAAAAAAATACCACCAGGCTTTGATACTCTCCTTTGTGTAAATTTTGAGTGATACATAACATAGTCCTAATAGCAAATTGCTGACTCCATATCCACCGAGACATTACATGATTTATCAGTTTCATAACCTCAACCACAATTCATATGATATACTACAAAGGTCCCGGAGCAGTATTCAACAGATTCATTTTTCCTTCCATCCTCATAGCTACCCCTCACATTTGTTGTTTTTCCTTCCTGTATTTAGAAAAAAAAACCCTTCTTGTCACCAACTGAAGACAATCTGAAGTTTTAAAGTTTAAATAATTAATTGATAAAATTTATATATAATCTGAGGTGATTTGTAGTACTGGATATTTTTCAAGCACAGGCTCAGCTCAAACTCCCTGCACTTTCACACTGTCTCCACACATCCTCAAGTGCATGACCTCGGGCTCCCGAGGCAAGAGAGCCTGTAGCCACGCTTACCCCTGCCCGAGGTGTTTGGTGTGGGCAGGACAAGGGTGCTGGACCCAGTTGTGTACTGCCCTCCCGCAGCCAGGAGGGTACATCAGCCACCAGCCTCATCCCAGGGCACTGGCACAGCACATCTTCTGAACAGAATGGATTTGTAAGTAGCTTAACCCTACAGCAGCCTTTTAGCAGTGCATCTGTGTTAAAAGGCACTCAACAAATACGTACCCGATCTCCGGTGCTATTGTATAAACGTGGATCTGATTTGGGAAACATTCTGAGCTTTACCCCAGCCTTTGTCCCATGTCACTAAGGTGTGTGGCTAGTGTATCGCATCTGAAGGCTTAAGCAGTTATCCAGTAGCACTGTAGTGTAGTTAGAAAAAGCATGTTTCCCATTACCAACAAACTACCAGCAGTTCTACATCAGAGTGCAGGCTCAACTTTGGCTGCTTGAAATTCCCAGTCCTGAAAACTCTAAATGAATCTATTTTTTCCATCCATAGAAACTGGAAAATAACAAAAGATACTTTTACTTCACTTTTCCCTTAGAAAACTTAAAACCCGGGAGTAAAAGACAGGGCAGGATCCAGTCCATCATTACGGACATGCACTACACTTGTATTCTTTGGTTGGTGTAACTGCAGTTCCTCCAGTTCATAGGGACACATTTATAGATGTTTATACATGATCTACAGCTTCCCATGGGGTATAACTTCTCCTCCAACATAATGTTAGGAGTGTAAAGAGAATGATTTAATTGCAAGAAATAACTTGAACATCCATTAAAGAGAGTTTTAAGCATTTTGCTTTATTATTGCTCTTCTGAGTATCAAGATAAACATACAATATTTTGATATATGCATTATGATTTGCTCAAACAAATTGATACAGCTACAACTGAGAACTTTAAATTGGCAACATTTCAGTCATGACAGTTACACTTTATATAAAATTCCTTAGTGCTATGTTTGATATTAAATATCAACAAGTAATATTAGTTTAACACGTAGAACTACATCACTGTCTCTAAAAATATTGCCATAGTAGGACTATTCACTTGGGTTCTGAATAACGATCAGGAGATAATCCTTATCTGCAAAAAGATATAAAAGTGTTTAGTTAAAATATTTTGTCTTATTTCCTGATAAATACTCTTTAGTCACCTATTCTTCTCCAACTTTTTATTTGTTTATAAACCATAAGCAAAAGTAATGGCATTTATATAAAAACCATTTAGAAAATGTAAGCACTTTGTACAAAAATCTGAGATTATAGATAAAAATAAATCTGTGTCGTAAAGCTTAACTACACCATATTAAAACTATTTTAGTAAGCAGGAGATTTGCTTTCAATAAGTTGTAAAGATATTTAAACAAGATGAAAAAAAGTCACAAGATAAGCACCTGGAAGTTAGCACTTGTTATAATAAAAAACTTTTGACATCTGCAACCTCTCCTGCAGGTGCAGAGAAGTTCTTTCAGTTCACTAACTAGTTTTTTCAAAATTGAGAACCCCATTTAGACATGAAAAAAGCAGAAGAGATTTGAATAGACTTCTACTATGAATAAATTCTAAGCATGCCAGACTTCGCCTACTAATTCTAAAAGCCTGGGGAAGTTTTGGAAACAATTCAGTTGGAGAGCTATTTAACTTTATCTATTTAAAATGAAACATTTCTTGAAAGTATCCAGTGCATTTAGTAGGGTCATATCTGGTTTGGACAGTTAAGAAGCTGCACTCGGGCACTGTCACTTTCATCCAGAAGCAACTTAATATAAATCACAGGTGGTTCATTTGCCACCTTCTACTATAGTAAAATACAGTCAAGCCTTTGAATAACTGATCTTGCTGTTGGCAAAAAAGCTTCACATTTTATGCCACTTATTTTCAGGTCAACATGCTTTAATAGTTCATAGTCAAAAAGTCACCGCTAAAAAAATAAGTGAAGGGCAAATGCAAAATAAGAATCAAGTGCATCAGTTTAAATCAATGAGCAAAAAACATGATTTAAAAAAAATGCATTAGGTTTATCCTCCAAAATAGAAACTAAACTAAAATTTTAATCTTAGTATCAGCTGATGACTAATGTTAACACTTAATGACAGTGCCAGATTTCTTTCACACATACTGGTTTCATAGCAGCATTATAAATAATTCCAGCGAGGCGAGGTACTGCATACCTAGCGCAGTACCTCTGCTCTACGTCTGCTATGGAATCAGCAGCCAAGGGCTGCCCCAGTGAAGGCTTTCCACACCACAGGCTCCCCAGTGGCTCTCTGCAGAGATCCCTGAAGGTTCCTTTCTGTTCTGCATGCCTTCACTGGGTGTTGCTGTCAAAACCCTGCACACCGTTCGCCTCTCAGTTAGCTACTGCACGCAGTCAGATCTCAGCCCAACCAAGCACTTCCACTTTGCCTGATCCCCCTTGTACTGGCACCTGACCACAGCTTCCCCACAGCTCATCTGGCCTTGTTATCTATTTTAGAGACACAACTAACAGATTAACATATATTTGTATTTAACACGAGTGAGAAACAGGTTGCAGTATTCCCTTGGTTGTTTTAAGGAAAATAATTGTTACTATGTTGGTGACAATACTGCGTATCTGTGACACAAATCCCACCCATGGCTAGGAAGTCACAATAACATACCAAGTAAAAAGTATTTTTAGAAAAAAATTTGCATCTGGAGCTAAAATGGATTTGCCATCTTTAATACTATATATATATATATATATATACACACACATTACTTGATATATATTTGCCTGGTTTTCCTTTGTGAAAACCCACAGAAACCAGAACATTAATCAGACCTAGGCTTGTTTGGCTGTCTCCAAGCTTGAGTACTTAAACTCTGTACTTTAAAATCTTAACACATCTGGTTACATGGTGAATATATGGTTATATTTTCATATACTTATTTTCAAAATGCATTTTCTATGGTAGTCTTATTTGTGAAGGATTAAAAGACACTTAAAAGGACATACAGTTGTATTATTATTTCAATAGAAATATTACCTGGAGCTACCATAATTTCGTGTTTCTTTGATCTGATCCTAAGAAAGGTGAGATCATTCTGAGGATCAATATCTCTCACTATGCTCCTAGCTTTCATGGTGAGCTGATGAAGAAGACCTGCATACTGGACTGATGTAGAGTTATCAAGAGTTGTTCTTATGGGAATTCCTGCAAACAAATAATTTTCTAATAATCATTCAGTTAAATTACGTATTCTCCGTATACAGCAGATCATAAGAGAGAAAACAAGGATTTGTATTTTTTTTATCTGTTTTGTAGCAGGGAGGAGTTATGTTGATTTCAGGTATCTGTATGCTTTTTAAAGTATAATTTATATTAATCAGTGGCAATTAAACATCAAGTTGCTTTATGAAACTTTTGAAAGAGCCTAATTGCTGTTTAAGACTCTTAAATACCTATCAAATTCCATTCTGTAGTACTTAACCAGTTAGGGTGCTTCATCAGTTTAAATACTGTCACTGAGTTTGTATCTTGGCTGCAAGAATTTAACCCATGCTTTACCTGTAGCATCTGGCATGTGCAGTGGTAGAAATGACACATTCTCAGTGAAATACCAAAAGTAATCAAAGGGCAGAAGTGGCGTGTTTGCATTTGGCAAGCAAAACCACCCTTGGAATGATCCCTTTCAATTAGTGGCAAAATACTGACAATTAGTTGTACACAGGGTATAGATCCCAGCTATTAAAAATATGACCACATAAGTCAAGATTAATTTTGGATGATTTAATGAATCATTGTTTATCGATGATATGTCAAATCATAGTATTTGTATTAATAGGCTACCAGGTGAAAACTAATCCTACAAGTGTAAAACTGTTTGGCATTAATAATAAGCTTGCTTCACTAATAAAAAATTTATTTGACCTACTATCAAAGACAATAGATTGCAAGTGGGCAAGGCAATTTTCTCTTTACATACATTTGTATTATCTCTTCCAGATGGACAGGATAGGAATACAAAAATAGAGTAATATGACTTAAGTTGAAGAGTTTGATTATGAAAGAAGAATTAACATGCAAAAATAGTGAATGCCAGGTAAAGAATTAGAAGCAAAAGAGTAAAAGAAATAATAGAACCACCTCAGATGTTAGACTATTTCATAATTTTCCTAGGAAAGAGTTATTTGAATCCCTTCAAATCTGTGCTGTCACTTGAGAAATAATTGTGCACTGGTAGGATGTGTAGTTAGGGAAGTGTACAGAATGACCCAGTACATCCTTTGTGTCTAATGTTCATTATACAGAGATTGAAACTGATGTTTTAATGGAAACAAACAGGTGTTCCCAAGCCCTGCATTAGCATGAGAATATCTATATAATCACAGCATTAAATAGTAAGTCATTTAAAAGCAGCAATGAATTAGTGTCAAGTTTATATGACCTTGTATCTAAATGATTGCTTCAACAAATACAGCACTTTTGATGAAAATGGTAAATGTTAAATGATCCTCCAAGGTCTAATAATAACATGAAAATGAGTTGACACTAGTGACATCCTTAGATTAAAGCTGAGCTATGCTTACTTTAGGACAAATTCTCTTTGCCTCTGCCACCCAAATTAGAGAAAGGCAAATAAATCCTTCATTAGGAATGCTGTAGTGTGACCCTTCTCAGCTGTGAAGGATAGCAACAGTTTATGAGATTTAACAAATAAACAAGGTACACTCAGCATAGTGTTTCAATGAACAAATCAACTTTGCATATTAAAATAAATGACAGGCAATGTTTGTATTGGGAATCTTTAATTTGCTATTTCACCTGCACACTGTTATACCTAAGTGTACCTGCACTACTACAAAAATCTTGGTAAAGACAACTAGCTGTTTGTGTTAGTGAAGAACTGAGGGTTTCCTCTTTTTAGGAAACCTGGACAGCCTAAGAAACCTCACTACTGTACCACTGGTTCAAGTATTTCTACTGCGATTAATTTAAGTTGTACACTTGTTTGAAATGTTTCAGGATAGAGAGAAATGAAATTCAATTTTCTACAGAAAGATTTAAAGTAATTAGATTGAGCAGTGCTAATTATGGATATTTGGAGATGTTACAAAAACTTAAAACTACAGACCTACTTGAGCTTTAGTGTGTGGAATCTAACCTCTTGGTACCTTGAATTCATCCTCATGGAGTACAGACTCTCTTGTATTCACATCTGGCATCTGGTGTTGAAACATTTCTAAATGATAAACTAAACCCAAAATTCCTGCACTAGCCTTGTCTGTGGGCTTCAGTGTGGCCACATACTCTACAGCTTTGTGAGGATGAGGAAGTTTGAACAGGACACGGAGGGACTTTATTTCTCGCCGTGCGTAGTCTAATGTGCGAAAAAAAGGGAGTGCAATATTCTTCCTCCTTTGCAAATCAAAATGGAGACAGAAGGAATCCAAACCAGCTTTATAAAAAGGCATGCTGTTGTCCTAATGCTGTCCAGCTCTACCTGAGCTTTCCCTCAACACTGTAGAACGACCACAGGTAAAGATGAACTGCAGGAGTTCCCCTGGTTGGGAGACCATACTTGACCAACACTGTGCCAAGAAGTCAACTGTTCCAAGTAACAGAACAAAAGAAGATGGGGTTATTTTTCTATTACATTGGTGCTTTTGCCTTGAGAAATGTATCAGTCTGCAAGCTCACAAAGGATCATTTGTGTTATCCAAGTGCTTGATTTTCACTTCTTGTTTGCAGCTTAGTGCTCATTGGATCAAGTCACATTGTATTTACTGAAACTGAGTACAGAAATGGCTGAAACAGTCCTTGTCCTGCAACCAGACTGCATTTCAGCTTAGTGAACAGCCAGAGCTAGATAGGAGCATGTGCAGGCACAAAGCAGCTTTTCAGTTTCTATTTGCCAGGCTATGCACTTCTGTCTTGACCTGCATCATCTATTCTGTGAACAAAGGCATGTTTTACTTAACACATCTAGGCACACAAACTAGTCCACGTTTTCTAGACTAACTAACATTTAGGCTTCCTTCTTGGTGTTCTTTCCTCCTATTGCTAGTGCAACAGATTTTTTAGGGGGTAAACTAAATTATGGACAAGGTAAATTGAGTGAGTTGTCTTTTCTGTAAAGGAATGATTAAAACAGATTAACCTGAAAATTCTAGCTTCTGAAGCCTGATTTCTGTGACCAGTTTTACTTTTGGCTGGCAATATTCAGGATCATAGCCAAAGCTGGCCTGACTTGCTTTTCCTCCTATGGCAACACACCATAACACAATCTAAAGAATTTAGGAATATTTAGCAGGAGAAAGGAGTGGCTCCCACAGTAGAAGACCAGCTTTGTTTAGTAGATACTTTTCTCCTGATGTTTCTGTTCTATTACAGTGTATCAGAGGAAGAGGGGGAAAGTGAAGTGCCAGTGAATTTTTTTGCATATATGAATTTTGGACCAAAGAAGTGCCCACAAATGTCATGTTCTCCCTTTCTGTAACCTCCCAAGAGATGTTCAAGATCTGGTTCTGAAAAATTAAGTATATGTAGTTAAACAAAGGGGGATAAGTAACAACATGGAACTCCTCGAGTTAAATGGAGATTATGATACTTCTGGTTATTTCTTCAGAAAAGACATGGCCAGGCTCTTGACTTTCCTGCTTTTCATTAAGTTGAGTGAAAAACTACATCATGTGGAGATGTTACTGTAAATTTGGTTTGCCTGTAGGCACCGAGCTTCAAGAAATGGCCACAGACCAAACATTTTAAGATGAAACACACATTCTTGAAAATCACACCATCTTCATAAAACATCACAAGCGGATTGTATTAACACCTCATAATCTGCAATTTTGTGCTTAAGGGCTCCTACACTCCTTGCCACTACCAAGTGTGTTACTTGGAGAACGCAGAGGACGGTTTACCTTCGGCGTTTATGACAACCGTGCCGATAACCCCTTTGTGGGCTTGAATCCTCTTTAGGGTTTCCTCCACTTCGGCCTGCGAGGAGAGAGGACACCAGAGGACATCGCAGCACCCCGCGGGCACGGCGGCTCCGCCCGGCGGCAGGAGGCCGCGGGGTGGCCGTGCCCGAGAGCAGCCCCGGGGCTCTGCCCCCCGCCCGCCGCCATTACCATGGCCCCGCCGCCGTTGCTATGGAGCGGCGGAAGTGACGTAGGCGGCAGCGCGGGCCGGGCGC